CCTGGGAGTCACACAAGTTGGAGGGGGGGCAAGAGTCGGAGCTGCTTCACACAGGAGTCAATGGAGCTGAGCGGAGCCAGTGAAGTTGCTCTGCACACAATCAACTGAGCACAGGTGCTCCGCACAAGTCGATGGAGCACAGCTGCTCTGCGCACAAGACAATGGAGCAGAGCTGGTGGAATTGCTCATACACAATGCAATGGGGCACAGCTGCTCTGCTCACGAGACAATGGAGCAGAGCTGGTGGAATTACTCCATACACAAATCAAGGGAGTGGAGCAGTTGGCTCTGCCCCATGATACATAAGTCAATGAAGCACAGCTGCTCTGCACACAAGTCAGTGGTCTGCAAACGTTATCGGTACCATACCCTAAGCTACCCCTGTAGGTTCATGAAGATTTAGCGATTTTGGTCTCCCCAAGTCAGTCCTAATTTTCTTAACCCTCAACACAATATTGGCCTGAGCCATATGTATTGCACATTCACGTATGTCACCATCAGGGTAGATTGTGAAAACTGATTTTGTTTTCTAAGTACAATACTAGTACATGTACCGCTACGTACATGTACACCTAATACACATTCATGACACAGAGCTGAATTGCCATCGGACCTTTCACCGTCCGTTATCGTTGCTGTTTGCCAAACGCGCATGCAAGCTTTCGTGCACGAAGTAAGTACCATACGCATGCCCAGATGAACATCATGTAGCACTTAGGTACCCGTGTGATAGTTCATCTGGACATGCCCTTAATGAGATAATCAAGGAACTGTTGCTTGTGGCTCACAGGCATACATTTACTGGCACATGTGCCTGAACATCACTCTTTGTGCATACATGTAGCTATACCGTTATGTACATGTAGGTGGTACCACATACACCTGAATAGATGGCAACACATGTACATGTACCACAAAGAAATACATGTCGTGTTTCACAGAGGTGTTATGTACCATACTTGTGCTGGTGTAGGCCTTCATAGTCAAACAAATGTAACATGCAGTATTTCAGTTGAATAGTTGGTAATAGCACCCCAAGGTTTTAGACCCCGGGTTTCATCTCTGGAACTACTGGTAAAGGTACCCGGTAGTTTGTCAATTTTCAATATTGTGGGAAGCTACATGTTCATGTAGTATCAACTAACCAACTTCAAACCATATGTGGTCATTTACATACCTAATTGGAATACCACCCAGCATTGATTATTCTGCGGGCATTGAAAATGAATTGCTTGTAATTTTAGTAGCACATACCGGTAGTGGCAGTGTAGACATGCATGCAGTTATTAATGCTTTCGATAAGGCCTACCCATGTTTTTCAGTTGATCCTCGTCTTTAAACATGCATAGTTCTACAGTATACACGTAGATCTGTTCTTGAGTTTTTTTTCATATGAAGCAAACATGTTTCTGTGCAGTATGCACCTTTCAGAGTGTGTAATGTTTCCTATTTAGTCATAAAAGATGACAAGCATCATTGAAATCAAGTCATCCAGTGGGACATGTACCGGCATATATGTACAAGTACATCATACACTTGCACATTGTACAATGTACATGCATACGTAGTGGGTATTTTATTTTGACCCCAACGATACTTGCACACCTACATGTACATGTACAGCGTGTTCAGTATCGAAATGTACATGTACTGTAGTTAACATGATGTACTGATATCAATGCATGAAGGAAAAAAAAGTTTGCAGATTATCTGTAATTGTGAAAAACAGCATGTCCCCCCTCCCGGTACATATATCATTGCTTGAAAAAGGTCATGTGTCACAATTGACATAATACTTGAGATGTGCCCTGGTACAACAGTGATGGACCAGTGTAAATATCCACGTATGGACATTTTATTCAACTAAACAAAGTCGGCAGATTACACATGATCTTATAAACTACGGTGCAGTGTGCAGTATTGGTTAAAACTGGTCGGCTGGTGAATGTACCGGTTCATGTACTGTGCATGTATGTATATGGTACACATGTACGTGTAGCGGATATTTACCAGTACGACTACACCATACATGTACATGTAAAGATAAAAGTGTATCCCCTCCCCAAAAAACCCCTTGCTAGTGCAGTCAATCAGCGTTTGGTCCAGTTTGACATATGCAAGCGTGTATCATGATGTGTTGAGGGAAAAAGAGCTGAGGGTCAGTGCATGTACACATGTACATTTACAGTGTGTACACGTGTGCATGCTCATGTAATGCAGGAGAGAAATCACCTTCTTAATGACTATATGGGGACCAGTCGTACTGTACGTGTATGTGCATATTATGTACAGTATGACTCACTTTAACAACATGAAGTCATTGACTCATAACTTTAAATCATATCCGTATTTGTTTTTTGGGATCCACACAGACCTGAAGCGAACCTTGGCCGTCCTTCTGGAAAACATCCTGCAGCGCCTGGGCACCGTTGAGCAGAAGGTGGACATCATCTACACAAACGGCAGCCAGCTCTTTCGGAACCTCACAGGATTTGCCGCAGCCGAGCAAAAGCATGCGGCGAGGAGCGAGGCGGAAGAACACCAAGACGGCATTTACACCAACAAGAGGAACAAAGGGGGCAGGAAGGAGCCCTTGGATTATGCGGAGGAAGAGGAAGATGAACGACCAGTATTAGCTAAAGGTAGGCTTCTTCTGGTCTTCAAGTCTGATCCTTGGCCCTGATACTTGCCAACATTATTTATTACATACATGTACATGTAAGTCTGCGTTGCTGTGAGCATGTACATTTATACATGTACTGTACATTTCCTAATGGCCCATTCACACATACACGTACGGTAGCACAAACTACATGTACATTTACACGTATACACATGTACAAGTAAGTACATACTGCTCACTGCGAACCACTTCACATTGTGTACACACATACATATTTGATATCTTGATGATTAGCTGTTATTTGGAGTGCATGATTGAATTCTAACTGGCGTGCTGCTGGAAACCACTCCTTGCCATTCATTACATGGGATCATTAACATAAGACCATGATTTTCTGGCCGTGTTTGACTTTCCCAGTTGGTACCTGGTATGGCCTTTCCCTGTCTGTGATTCATGAGCAGAGCCTGTCACTGCTATTAGCCGTCTCAGTCTAATGTCAGAATTCTGTTTGGAGCACCATCCTGACCATTTGAATAGTGTTCCAAGCGGACTAGACGGCACCAGCGGTGCAGTCAAGATGGGGGGGGGAGGAGAAACGTAGTCCCACAGTTACATGTGTTTGCCCTGTGTGGTCAGAGGTGACATGTTTTGCACTTATTTGTATTCATGTTTCTCCTTTTGGGGGAGGGGTGCACTGGGAATTCGCGGTAGAATAGAGGTCACAGAACCAGGTCTTTTTGGCTAGAAGTCACTTCTCTGTTGGAGTCAAAATGCACTCATATAATGCACGTGTATACATGTAGGCCTGTTCCCCTGAGGACTGTTCTAGTCTGGAGAGCACTGTTCTAGTCTTGAGCACTGTTCTAGTCTGGAGCACTGTTCTAGTCTGGAGAGCCTCTAACACTGGGGGCAAATTTTACAGTGCTCAGGAATTTGTTTGCTTTTTAAATAGCAAAAGCAGGGAACCGGCAAAGATGTCATGCATTCTGTATTCAAGTTTTGTGACTGGTTCACACTTCACAGTTGATTTACACAGACTTAAAAAAAAAATTAGTTACATTTCCTACTTCCCACCCTACCCTCTTTTGATTGTGTGACCCGGAAGTTTTGTGGGAGAAAGATTTGTAATAATATGAATTTGGAAATAAAAAAGTATACAGTGTATGGTGTGACATACATGTACATTGAATGTAGTACAAAAAGGTATGGTATAAAAAGGGACAATATAAAAGGTGTATGTAAATGCATGCCACCGGTATCCTTTAAAATGTTATTCATTTCCTATGAAACAACTACTTGTATTACATGTACTTGTACCTGACATCTTTGTTGTCATTAGTTTCAACCAATTAGTTTCAACGAATCAGTATGTTAATAAAATTTCCCCCCCCCCCATGTTTAACGTCAACAAAACTCTCTGCCATCAAGGACAGGTACATGTACCTGCTTACCAGTACCTACTGGTACCCAGTTTCCAGACGACATATAATAGGAAGGTTTTTCTTATTTTGGCCTACCGTAAAAGCACCTGTGAAATGAAGTCTTGGTGTTCACACAAGGATCCAACTGGCTCTGCCAATGAAAACTGCATGTACCTGTGTAATACCAGTGGAACTTTTCAAGGGGTTCCCTCTTCAGAGACCTGCACTCTGTCTTGGTGTTCACTAAATTGGCAAGCTTACTGAGCAACCTGCATTAATCCAAATGGACGTGGCTATGAGTAGCACACTCATGTACATTTGTATGGGGAGCCGGATAACCTCTTGCTAGTGGCTCCCATAGTGTGCTCATGTTACCTGTAGTTCAAGCCACAGCCACAACTTTTGCACACTGCCTTGTGGCTTAATTGAATCTCTCAGGCTCTTGAGAAATTACATGTACTGTACATGCACTACATTGGGTACTGCAATCAATGAGTGATGGATTTTGTCCCTGTTGAGCTGATGTCAGGTGAAATAGGATATTACCTTATTGCCCGTTATCGGGTCATTAGCTTGAGCCAGAGACATTATATGTGTCTCACGGGCCATTTGTAAAAGCCTGTTAATTTCATTACGATATTCTGGTGCCAAAAGTGCAAAACCATCAGAGTTGGCATCTCTCAAGCAAAAATCTGTGCAGGGAATGGGGGGGGGATGCGATGGGGGATGACTTAAATCAAATATTGCCCAGCTGGAGAGATTTGTAGAGATGTTAGACACCACATGACACTACAAGGGCACTAATCAGACTAAAGATGCAGTGTACATGTACTTGCGCTCTTACCTTACATCATAATGGCGTATATAAAACCTTTGTAATATTTCTCCAGTTTTCAGTATTATTAGATACATTTTGATTGCTGAAAATCCACGCTTTCTCCCTTCACCACTAAAAAGGGTTGGGGGCAGAGAGAGTTTATCCAGTAGCCATCCTCCTCCTCCCCCTGTTAAAAAGTGGGAGGATATCTCCACCCCCTCCCCAGAGGATTGACACCCTGTGTACCAGACTCGTAGCTAGTCATCATTCATGAAGTCCATAGACCTGCGTGTAATGGGGAACATCTAAAGTTGAGGTCTGTGAAGTTAATGGAAACCTCCCAGGGGACATTTCCGACAGTGCATTTGATCTCGCCGTACGGTGTTGATGTCAGGTTTTTTAACCACATTGTACATGATTGTGTATTGAATGTACCATTTTTCTTACTTCCACTCATTTCTTCATCGCTGGTGCTGCGTCGAAAATGTGTGCCCGCCGGTTATGCAACATGTAAGTTCAAGGCATGTCTGTGGAGGAATAAGAAAAGTATACCTAAGTATGA